CCATGTTTCTGGGCTGATTAAAGTAACATCGGAAGCTGTGTCCAGCTGAAGGCGGGTACGGTGTTTATTAATATTCAAGGTCACATACTTTCTTTGGTGGCAACTTCGTACTCTGTTATGTGATACCAATATCTTGTTGGTTGGAGCACTATATCTGTATTTCTTCGAGTAGGGCTTCAAAGAATGTCGTTTATGGGTTCTTTTTCTGTAGCAGTTTTCTTTATGTCCCTTCCGATGACAATTTCTACAACAATGTCCCTTATATGGGTAGAACGTTTTATAATGCCAACCCCCACAAGACCAACATGGAGATGAAGGCTGATTGTCTGTGTGCGATACCTTTCTTGAGCAAAAACTGTTCTTCCCGCTTACAGCATGAACGTATGGCAACTGGTCATTATTTTCGACCATCGAAGTGTCATGTTTTAAGTTTACCAATCTCTGACACCCTGTGGTTACTTCTTGTAGTGACATATTCTGACATTGTTCAATTTGACTCAAAATTCTGCCATTGCAAACGATTTTGATCCATGTCATTCAGGCTCTCTAACCATCGGTTGCTATCATCTCGCGGTCCCAAACCAGGTAGTCTACATCTACCAATATGACTCAGTTCACTTGTCAGTGACTTCATGGACTTGTGCCATGTTTTGGTCTGGCCGCCCCTATCTTTCTTCCAATTTACTCCTATACAACAAAACATCGCACATCGAGGCAGTCGATGGTTGGGCATACGTAACACATGTCCCAGCCATCTCAACTGATGAAGTTTCACCACTTCGTCAATTGATTTGCCATTCTTACCTAGTACCCGTTTCCTAACAACTGTGTTACTTACTCGATGGTCCCAGAATATACGGGCAATGTTTCGAAGACACCTATGATCGAATACTAGTAACCTACGAATATCCTCTACTCTTACCGGCCATGTTTCACTGCCATAAAGTAGGACGGAACGAACTGCTGCGCAGTAAACACGTCCTTTGGTTGGTTGACGGATAGCTCGCCTACGCCATAAATGACGCAAGTTGACGAAGGCTAGTCGAGCCTTCTGTATCCGTGCTGAGATTTCGTCACACACCAAACCACAAGGGCTGATGAGACTTCCAAGATAAGTGAGGCGATCGACACGCTCATTTACTTCACACCCTATCATTAGTTCGGGTGTCAATGCAACCCAATCCTGAAGCAACATTTTGCATTTCGAGAGGGAGAATCGCATCCCGAACATGCTTGCATTGTTGCTTAGAGTGGTCAGAAGACTGCATTTTGTCAGCGTCTTCACCAAATAAAACTATGTCATCAGCATATTCTAAGTCAACAAGTGAACCTCCCGGTAGAAGTTCAACCCCTGGAAATCTAGACGAGGAAAGTGTTATCTATAAAAGTACGTCGACGACAAAGTTGAACAAGAATGGAGAGAGTTGACAGCCCTGACGAACAACACTTGAGGTAATCAATTCTGATGACAGTTCGCCATAAGCTCTCACTCTACCAGTTGTGTTCGAGTAGAGAGCCTTTACAAGGTTAATGTACTTCTTTGGTACTCCTTTCAGTGACAAACACTGCCATAAAACCTCATGATCAACCGAGTCGAATGCTGCCTTAGGGTCGAGAAATACTACCATTGTGGGGCGTCTGAACGTGTGTCTGTGTTCTATAACTTGACGTAGTGTGAATATCTGATCTATACAACCACGTCCAGGTCGAAAACCAGCCTGATTTTCTCTAGTCTGTTCTTCACGAGCTTCGGTTAGGCGTCGAAGTAGTATTGAAGCTAATATTTTAGACACTACATTAGTCAAACTGATTCCTCTGTGATTGTAACAAGAGGACTTTTGTCCTTTCTTATAGACTGGCACAATCAGTGATTGAGACCAGCCAGATGGGATTACGTTCAGTTCCCAAATTCTACCTAAGACCTCGGTTAGTCTCACTGCTAATACTGAACCACCATCCTTAAAAATCTCAGGAGCAAACCTGAGACGCATGATAGTGGTACATGTGAGGTATACTTGGCACAGCTATAGCTCGTTGTACAATTAAATCTAGACATGGGTTATTAACTGTAAGAGGAGTGTACCGTAGTCCATGATGTCTAGCTGACGAGTTTGCCTTTAGTCATATCTGTCCTTGAAGTATGGTCAACTGTTGTCTCATCGTTGGAGATTTCAACGCGCCGCATATCAACAGTATGGAGTTTACAACTTCGGGTGGATGTTTTGTAAACAGCCTGCTGTTGACCATTATTCGGTGTGCACTTGTGCAATCTTTCGTAAAATCGACACAGTGACTTCGAACACGAACCGCGATTGCTGGACTTGTCTTTACACACCACTGTGTTGGGCGTTATTGACAACTACCACCTCCCCCAACTTGCAGTGATCACGTTGTACTGCACCTTGATTTTCGGACACAATATACAGTATGTATCTGCCCCGCCCCGCCCCAATATATGAGGTGCTAATATTCCGGCAATCAGAGACTGTGCTCTCTAAAAGGACTGGTCGGTCAGTACAGATGGGTCTATCGAAGACATCCGAGTCCGCAACACTACTGTTCACCCTATGGTCAACACGTCGACTATCACATGAGGAAACTCGAAGCCGTGGAGATATAAGAAACACTTCTGGAACTTATTCTTGCCAAAAACCAGTTAAGCGTGAATACCAAAAAATCCAATCATTAATATAATACACTCTCACTGTCATCCATATGTAAAAGGAACATGGCTAGATGCCACCACTCATGAAAGACAGTTGGCATATTATCAATCGTGAGGCACTTTGTTGGGGACCAACTAATATTTAAACCGATCATGAATATAACGGACTACAATCGTCATTCATATATGACAAACAAAATAGAATAGCACACAGTTCCCCTTCTTTCATTATTCATTACTAGTCATGCCCTTATGCTACTCCCCTTCATACTCCGAATCTCTCGAATCTTCAAAGTTGCATAGTTTTTTTCCATGAAGTCCCATTTGAATTTCTATTTCAAGTTGACAGATAACTAACCAACCCCATGAGTGCTTCTAAAATCTGCCCGGTCGTAAGCTTGCAATATAATAATTAATTGTGAACTCCTCCTTAGTTCATGTTTTAAAAGTTTAAAGAACTTTTTAGCGTCTAAACGTTTCGTTTTCATACTTACTTTTCGTCTTACTCAGAAATTCTGTAACTCTTGATCAGTTGTCTTTATCAGTCACGAAAACTAAATGTTAATAATCCGAGAATAAGCGAACTGATGTTCCAAAAAGTGACTTTTTTCGTTTACCATTTCTTTCCCATCCTTCTCTTTAAAACAATCCAATATTGGAACATCTTGTCAGTCCTACCCCACCAGTTATATCCCTCTAAATCATCTACATGGTCGGACGACTAGGTTCAAAGTGAGTAGCTTGCCGATTATTTGTGCATTGCAGAAGCGTTGGCGATTGGTCATTGTATACAGAAATCTGATATCTAAAAGTAACATGTGCCAGTTCTTATCCCACCATAACCCTAGCACCTAATCTTCCACTGCTTCCAACTTTTAGTCATTTATTACCAACTTCATGTTTTAAATTTCACCGTTCTTATACTTGTCAAAAGGACAGTTACCTTTCACACATTTGACGTCATCTCACCTTTTCTTCAGATCACTGATCGTTTTTAACCCTCTTTTGACACTTGACATTCCGGAGAAATTTATTCCGCAATCTACTCACTATTTTCCAAAAGGCTGATTTATTCGTGAATCACTGCAAGTACATTAATAGGGCTCGAGTAAGTGAGCTACTTTAGATTGTAAATAACTTCATTGTGCTTCCTCACCTTTTTACTATCTGGATTGTGCAAATGTACATCGTTATTCGTAATATCTGACTGGCTCTTAATGATACGATTGGTTTGAATGCCTAGGTTGACGCAATTTAGTCAGTCCAACGTTATAACAATTTGTTAAATTCTAGTATTAAGTTCAGTAACTCGAATTCATGTACTCCAATCAATTTTTTCAATGATTTAGGATTTTATATCTTTTAAACTAACTATGCATTCAGTATTTATTAAAACATTCTAATACGCCTAAATATATTTAGATTAAGCATCAATATTTATGGGATTGTTAAAAAAATTAATAATGGTTTAATTACATGATTTTGTGAAGAAGTTTGTATTGTTTGCAAGTATTAGTCGCCAGGATCTTAAATCAACTAGAAAACCATTGAGTGAAAAACAAAGATATGGCAGTCACTTTTTGCTTCAAGACTTCTTTATACTGCTACCCCACGACTTCCAATAGGATGAAGTACACAAACTACCCGATTAAATGTAGACACATTTGAGGATGTTTGAAAGAACAAAAAATGTTCCCTCACTCGTCTGGACGCCTTTATGTGCATCTACCAGTTTGACTATTCTTGTGTAGTGAGGTACTATGACCGAACTAAATCAAATCAGTCAGCTTATATACATCAGATTATTATCTATGTATTGTGTTACTGGTAAATGTACTTTAGACGTAATGAAACCTTTACTGGTACAGTAAGGCTCGAACCAGTAAATAAACGGCCGAATATTTTGTACGTGAAATCCTGTTTTACTACCAACAAACCTTGGAACTGGCAAACATATACATTCACTTTGTTAGCGAAACCTTACAGTAAGATTGAAATACTACTCAAACTCCTTGCTGAGTAAGACATTTGGTTAGCGATTTCAACTGAGACACACTATTAATCTTTAGAAGATAATGAAATCTATTGAACAATGACAAAGAATAAATATTTATAAGTGTTTCCAACAAGACTCAGGGTCATAATTAGTACAAGCTAACTGCCAGAAGTTCGATCACACATTAAGTCTGTAATTGATATTTGATAATGCGTAAATCTATAGGTATTATCTACTTTTTTTACCTGACAAGTAACATGATTATTTAGCTAACATTTAATCAACAATTACCTCCTGTGGCGTTCAGAATAATCCCTATAATCTTAAATATTGTCTGTTAGTATTTGACGTCAAATATTTTATTACATGTAATAAACATTATAATTTTACCTGTACATATATGACTGGCATACGATAATGTAACATAGAGTAAGAATTAATTTACATAGTAATAAACTCTCGGAAAATTAGGACTGTCAAAGCAGAAAAAATTATGATCACTTAGCGAATGTACTCATCAAGCAATTATAAACCGGAAGCACGATATCTTCCCCATACAGCAAGTTGGCAAATGCCAATAAAACCTTCTGAATTCCTGCTGAGATTTCTCCAAAAATCAGACCGTCAGTGCGGATGAGACTCTCAAGATAAGTGAGGTGGTCGATACGTCCAACTACTTCACTCCCTATGACTAACTCAGGTCAATCCTGACGCAACATTTTGGATTTGAAAGGTTAGAATCACATCCGAAACATGCTTGTGTCGTTATTTAATGTGGTCAGAAGACGGCATTGTGTCAGCATCAAACAGAACTATATTATCGAGGTATTCCAAGTCAACAAGTGAATCTCTCGATAGGAAAACTCCTGAAAAGGTAAGCAATCAAAGTGTTACTTCTAATAACATGTCAATGACAAGTTGGATAAAAATGGAAGCAGATGACCCTGATAGTTCTTCACAAGCTCTGACTCAACTAGAAATGTTCGAGAAGAGAGCCTGTATGATGTTAATGTACTTCTTTGGGATGCCTTTCAATGATAGACACCGCCACAGAACCTCACGATCTTCGTAGTTGAACTCCGTATTAAGGTCAAGAAATATAACTATAATCGGACATCGAAAAGTATGTCTGTTTCAGAACCTGGTGAAGGGTGAATACTCGGTCTATACATAATCGTTTACGTCTGAAACCAGCCTGGTTTTCTCGGGTTTGCTCCTCACGAGCTCTAATTAGACGTCGAAGTATTAACGAGGCTAATATTTTAGACATCTTAGTTAAACAGATTCCTCTGTGATTGTCACAAAACGATTTTTGTCCCTTCTTATAAACTGAGATGATCAGCGATCGAGACCAGTCAGATGAGATTTCATGCAGTTCTCAGGTTCTAGCTAAGATTTCAGTTAACTTAACCGGTAAAGCTGGACTAACATCCCTAAAGATCTGAGGACTTAATCCATCAGGCTCTGATGCTCTCTCGGGTTGGATTATCTACAAAAATGGGACTCGTCACTACACAACAACTTTCTTGACTGAGAGAAAACGTTTGACAGCGCAGATAGGAGAGATTTATGGAACCTTCTTCGACATGGTGTACCTGCGAAGATCATCAACATCACACGACTTACTGCACTGCAAGGTCGTGCATGGAAGATAGATCACAGATGTATTCCAAGTAAAGATCTGTGTCAAGCAAGGCTGCTTTTGTTCGTTTTCTCTCTTCTTGTGGTCGGTTGTATTATAAAGACCTCTACATCTTAGTGGAAGTACAGAATACAATGAACAGCTTGGGTGCAACTAGGCGATTTGAACTTCGCAGATGACCTAGCCCTTCTATCCCATACATACCAACGAATATAGGTGTAGACAGCTAGTATAACAGTCTCCTCTGAATCAGTAGGTCTTAACATACACAAGGTCCTGAAATGCAACACAGCGAGCACCAACCCAATCACACTTGATGGAGAAGATCCGGAGGAGGTCGTAAATTTCACATATCTAGGGAGCATCGTTGATAAACAAGGAGGATCTGATGCAGATGTGAAGGTAAGGATTGGCATGGCAAGAGGAGCACTCTCGCAACTGAAGAACATATGGAACTCAAAACAACTGTCAGCCAACATCAGTCAGAATCTTCAATACGAACGTCAGGACAGTTCTACTGTATAGAGCTGAAACTCGGAGAACTACTACAACCATCGTCAAAATAGTGTAAGTATTTAAAACAATTGTCGAGGGTCGGGTACCACCAGCAACAACCTACTGCGAGAGAGAGCAAGCTAGCTTCTGGCTGGAGAGGAAATTAGGGGAATATGCTGGGGGTGGATAGGGCATACACTGGGGAAATCAACAAACTGCAACACGAGGCAATCCCTATGTCAAATCCGTTATACTTAGATTCTTGCTTATTCACACCATTTGTGTAAAATACTCCTTCACACGTCATAAAAGTTATCTTCTTTTTGCTTCTCTACATTCTAAATTCCTATTTGGTAACCCTTCATGCAACAAAGAACCATTCACTTTTTCGGTAGTCTGATTGCTGCAGGTTGAAACCCTACTTCAATGGAACAAATGCAACCAGATATACACAAGGAATACCAACCCCTAAATAACTATTAGATTTACTAGCGTGGTGGATTTGAGGTCTTATCATACTAAACCCTAGATGCGTATTTTAATGTCTTGATTTCATGCTAGTGTTGTTGCTAATTGTTGTCTATTGCTTTCATTATTAAATATAAGTTCATCCCATGTGCTGACAGTCTTAGGCGCACTTAATCATCTGCTGACTTCTCGAATTTCTTCAGGTTTAAAGAGAACTAATGTTTGTTTGGGCCTTATCAGAGAATTTACTTCTAGGATAACTCTAGCTATCTGATCGAGTTGTATACTGCATCAGAATAAGTACAGCCAAGGTTTACTACTCCTAAAAAACGAAACAAATCTTGGAACTGTACCGTGATGTCAATAGGTAAGTACAAACAAATCAATTGGTTTACGCAAGTGTGTCAAAGAATGTCAAAGACTGGGAGACCAGAAGTGACCAGTCGCCTCATGAGTGACAACCTCTGGTATCCAGAAATACAACTGCCCTGAGATGGGCTTGCCAGACATACACCGAGGTTTTTTAATCTGCATAAATCTGTGTGGAGCTCAATGAGACCTCTCAACACTTTAAGATGTTTAGTTCAAGTAGCCGACATGAATCCCACTGCCGACACCAAGTACGAAAATAGTATGCATATGGGTGGTATTTTGAGGTAACTGATAGTTTACATTATTATACCTATCAAATGACGATTTTTTACCAAATATAGATAGAGTCTTCAGTTTTTATTATAATAAAGTAAAAGGGATATGAATCAATAAATACAATCAGTTAATATATTAAACATCTCGGGTCATGAGTAATGCTAGCGCTTACCCAGTATTTATCCACAGTTTTCATCGGATATTTTTCCAACTAATCTTCGCAATTGACTTGCTGAAACAGAAAAAAGTATCACGTCAGTAGTACCTCAGATTACTAAAGGGAAAGTCATGGGAACAGGACCAAACTGTCAGTCGCCAATGATGGTTAGGGAGGGGGTAAACCTAATGTCTGTACGGATGGTCTTAGTTTGACGCCTTTCTGTCAAACAGTTTTATATCCGATTGATTACGGCTCCAATTTACACTCACTGTATCTCACAACAGTGGGTAAGACGAAGAGCCACGAGGGGATATATGACAGACTTGACAGCCAATGAGTCGTGGTCCAGAAGCACTCGACAAGCCTTGATCTCATCATCGGAACCTACCTGTGGTTTATAGGCACTCGTGTAACCAAAAATCGGAGGCTAAGAGAAACTAGGTTACTGGGACATCAAGTGAACCGCATGATCCGCACGACACGACAGGTAGTTGACCTAAGTGCAAATAAACATTCAAAGGTAGTAATAGCGAACTGTTCATTCCACAGGATTTGGGTCTCGGCTCTCGTTGCAAGAAAGTCAAATGCTTACTTCGTTACTTTGAAACCTAGACAATAAGAAATTGTTTATCAGTGGAAGGACTTACTGAAGAATAACAGTTTGAGCAGTTTCCTTTAGTCCCAATGGAACTGGAGTAACTGTCAAACTTTACTTTTAGAGAATCCACAGAAGGTCATGTCACTGTTTCTTTCGGTAATGAATTACACTTGTCGACTGTGACTACGAAAACACTCGAAATCATAAACTGCTTATGTACGAACGCTAAGAGCTTACCGAACATGATGAACGGATTGCGTGAATTAAGTAACACTGATAATACTCATCTGACGGGAATATCCGAAGCATGAGAAACATCCAGAATCTGGAACAAGAAGCTGTCAATACTCGGGATGTCTTTGTTCCGCAATGGTGGCAGTAAACAACTGGGCGGCGGAGCAGCCCTGTACTTGCGATCCCACTAGGTAGCATGTCAATATGGTTCAAATGGTTGTAGACGGAATACAAGAAGCTTTCGCTTTACGGGCTTCCGTGTCTAATAGCAGTGCATCACCAATACCTACAGGCAGGAACCTAGGTATATTAACGATAATGGAGGAAATAAAGAAATTGGTAAACCATAATAAGATGTTATCCTTAGTCCTTAAGAATAGGTGAAATTTCTTGGGTTGTAACTGTAGTCTGCAACATGTCGTAGATGGACTACTTTACACTTTGAAGTGTTAAAAATACGTCCGTTATCTTCATCCCAACATTGAAGTCGAGGCAGATCCTCCTGAAGTGCCCATTTATCCTCTTGGTTACGAATCTCTCTCCAAAGTTTCACGTCATCAGCAAAAAGTAATAATTCTGACGATGCCTGTTGTGGAAGATCATTTATATAAGTCAAGAAGAGAAGAGATCCTAGTACTGAACCATGGGGGACCCCATTTAGGCATTCCATAGCCTGAGATATAGTGAAGTTAACCCTGACCTAAAATATCGATTTTTTAGATATGGAATGAGCCAGTCAATTAGAGGTGGTCTGATACCTAATCGTTTGAGCTTATCGATAAGACATATATGGTTGACCCTATCAAAAGCTTTTGAGAAATCAAGGTAAATTATATCAACCTTCCCCTTGCGATCAAGGGTGCTTGTCCATCTGTCCACCGCAGCCAGAATGTTGGTTATACAAGAGTAACCCTTCCCGAAACAATGCTGTTGAGGTGAGAAGTTTAAGGACAGTAAATAGTCATGTATACCTTCGCATAACAGGGACTCCATGATTTTTGAAGGTATAGAGAGAAGAGCCACCGGTCGATAACTTGAAGGTTCACTGCGTCGACCTCCTTTGAAAATTGGTGTGGTGTGAGCCAGCTTCCAAATTTCCGGTAGTTGGCCTCGGCTTGGCGAGTGTGAGAGCATCACGCTAGTCGGTGTTGTCAGGATTGAGGCTGCTTCCCTCAGTATATCAGAATGAACCATATCCGGGTCAGGAGAAGGGTCTTTTCTTAGGTGCTGCAGTTTCCGTAACACCAAGTTAGCGCTCAGGTTCACTTCGGAAAGTCCCGTGCAGTTGCAGATGAAGCTTTCGTCAATATAGTTTGTGTGAGGCGGTTGAAATATCCGAGAGTATTGTTCAGCCAAAAGGTTAGCGGCGTCGCCATCGTTATTGGTCGGGTCATTAGGACCTAGAAGTCGGGAAACTCCCGTTTTAGCGTGACGAAGAGAGGCGGCATAACGGAATAAGCTTTTCGAATTGGAGACAAATTTATCCATAAGCTTTACCTGGTACTGAAGCCTATCTTCTCTTATAGCTTTCGTGCATATGTTCCTTATATGTTTGTATTGCCTGTACGCGCCTTTGTTATCGGTTCGTTTGTATTCTGCCCAGCAGTGCCTTTTGCGGCTTAGCAAACGAAGAGTGCGGTTCTTGATGACTGTAGATTGCTTGTAGCTATTGGGAACCGTTTGAGGAACTGACTGCTTTGTAGTGCATAAGTGCGTATGCAGTAAGAAGTCCCTATGAACATCCACACCAAGTTGAGGGTGAATATCACAATCCACCTGTTGTAGATAGTCCTGTTGAGCTGACACATTCAACCGTTTGAAATTCCAGCGCCTGTTGTTGGTGGAATATCTTAGCTCAGTTTTGCTGGCAAAACTGAAGGCTATAACGGCGTGATTACTTTTCTCCAGGGGAGCCAGGATTGAGAGGTCGTCAACTAGAGATTCTTCGTTTGTAAACGCCCAGTCTAAGCGCAACGGTATCTGACTGTATCTCCAACGAGTTGCGGACTTCACATTTTCGTATAATCCCAGATCCTCAATGAGGTTGAAGAACCAAGCTTCAGTTAAGTTTTCACATACAATGTACGTATGTTCCGCGAAATTGATTCTAAGGAGATTGAAGCCCCTAGAATCAGGATATGAGTGAATCCGAGACGCATAGAGCGGGATAGTCCTTCCAGCATACGACTGTCATTCTCGATGTCAGCAGTGGGCTTCCTATAGATGACCCCGACTAGGCACCACGAAGTGGTAGACAATCGTATTGAGCACCATACTGATTCATCAAGATTGTTAAACTCACGGTTGTGAACCTGGTGTACCTCCATGCAGGATCGTATGTATACGGCTGCTCCCCCAATTCCCGTTTTTCTGTCATTGCAAAACAAAGACATCCCAGGTATTCTAGCTGCTGGTTCGTAAGCTGAGAAGATATCCAAGTTTAAGATATTCTTATCAGATGGGCCTTATTAGCATCGCTAAGTCCACGTAGCTCATCCATTACATTTGGTAGACTCGCAGTGTTCTTCTTTAAGCAGTTTATGCTTTCAGCTTCAAACGCGTGAGCTTCTTCCTGTTTGTCTGTATGAGCCTTACGTGGATGGACAAGTAGTCTACCCACATAATGTTTGCCGAGTTGGTAGGTCCTGTTCTTTACACGTTTTTTATGATCAAGACAATCCACAAGTGGAATGGTCAGCTCCAATTTGCCTTTGTGTTTGGTCCTGGCGTCATGTGGCCTATCCGGGTGCATATGAACTCCAGTTGGCAACCGACGTCTGTTGGCACGAAATGCTTCCAGAGTTGCAGCCGCCATATGGGAGGATGGGAAGGTTATCCTCATTAGCCGGGGTCTAGAATCACCATCCTTCCTGGCTAGTCTCGTCACATGTTGAGTCAGTATGTTTTTGAGCCTCAAGGACTGCCTGATGAATTTCCATTTCCTAATATCATAGTTTGCTTGACTAGGGTTCGTGTTTTCCGGTACACCTCGCACAAGGATATTTCTTCCGCGGAAAAACTCGCGAGATTCCTTGGGGATGTTCCGGGTGAGATTGCGCTCAGAATACGGTATGTCGGGCAGTATTCTTACTTTCCCATCGGATTTCAGTAAATGATTAGCTAGCAGGACATCCTCTGCGTCGGTAGCATTCTTAAGTGTTACACGAAGTAGCCTCGGGTTATTTTGATGCTAAGAGTCCTTTTCCCGAGTGGGCCGTGTGACCGCCAAAGGCTCTGTTCTAGGGAGTTCAAGCTTCTTGTTCAATTCTCCCCAGAGCATCCTGTCATTTTGGTCCTGCAAACTGGAAGGAAGGTCAGGGTTGTCTTTGAGGTTTATGATTATGAGAGAGTCATCACGAGCCGTTACTGTTTTCCCAGGTTATCCGGTGCGTTCATGTCCAGCGCCTTGGTGTTTGAAGGTCGAAGCACGTTTCTGATTCCTAGGCTCTTTGATGACCGGACGGACATTCTTGGGAGTATACCGTGCAGCTAAATCACCAGTTGATTTCCGTACAATACTTGGATGTTCAGCTCAGACGGTGACGCCTGGTCCTTTTTAGCTCTGTTAACGTGGGTCCAATTGCCTACAGAGTTTTTGAGAACCACTGTTGCATTCAAAGACCCCGAGCTAAGAGACTAGAAGTTGCTGAGTGAGTTTATTACCGTCGACGTTATGATAGTGCTGAGTTTCAGCATGTCATCATTAGTGTTAATGCATGCTCGATCAATAGTAGACATGTCGACATACCTTTTCTTATTTTCACTACGTGTCCATAGTTGTCTGCCCGTTTTATGACTGCCTTTTTCCAAGTTTGCTGACAACTTATTCCGCAGACCTGGCAACAGGACAATGATGTTACTCAGCAAAACTACAGCACCGTGTTGCACGTAACACACACCCACTTATGATCCGACTTGCTGAGTCTGTTGTAAACAGTTGCTGTGAGACCCGTGCACGCTTCATGGAACCAATCTTTGTATTTATCGCACTGTATGCCAGATGTAACAGCAAAACGACATCCACGTCGTCTGCATGAATTTTTCATGACTATATTGACGTAAACTGTATTAGAGATGCTAGCAAAAGCCTAAGACTGTTAAAAGATACACTAAAAAGCACACTAAAAACGGGCAAAAATGGATAAAACGGATGAGACAAACTGAACTAGGCGTTACGTGAAAAACTGAAAATTTCCGAATAGTATGCTGGGGCAAAACCACCGTTAACTATTAAATTGGGTGAAATTCGAAAAGAGTAATCGACTGGACGTATAGCTCAGAAAAGATTCTTTAGATCAGAAATGATACTTTTGTTGCGTAAGAACACAGCAAAAGTTTGGGAAATGCAAACCACGTTAGGACTAAACTTCCTATTCGAAAATGTCAAGTGTGCACTGATATGCTAATTTTATGAGACTTCAATCTTTCCAAGTCATCTTCGTTTGACACATGTACAATGGAGGTGATAACTCCGCTGAAGTTTGGTTCCTCAATCTCACCGAAGAGTTGGGATTGTCCGAAAATGCGAAGCTAGTAACTCGATGGAAAAGTAGTAAGATACAATCACGCTAAGGACGAATCTTCGCGAACGAATAACTCCTGACTGATGATTTCTCAATGCTAGCTCGGATAGAAAAAGCAACCACGCTTTCA